GCACGAGCAAAGGTGTCTGCACCTCGGACCAGTCGAGGAAGAGCACCCTGGAGGAGACGAGGACGAAGAGTACACTCATCAGAGAGGCGATCTTCGCACAAGAGCTCCAACCAGCAGGTCGAGTCCTCCTACAACCCAATAACTCCCGAGGGAGTAATCACAAGAGAGGAGTTCGACCAGCTGAAGAGCAAGTTTGATGCTCAGGTTGAAGCCTTGAAGGCTAGGTGCGAGTAGAAAGAGAGCCCGTTCAATTATGGTGACTTGGGGGAATTGCCATTCACCTTAGACATCTTGGAGGCTCCAATCCCTCCGAAGTTCAAAACTCCCACCATGAAGCCTTATGACGAGTCTAAGGACCTAAAAGACTATGTTGAGGTCTTCGAAGGCCTCATGGATTTTCAGGCGGCAACAGATGCAATCAACTGTCGCGCCTTCCAGATCGCACTCACCGGCAGCGCGCGCCTGTGGTATCGAAGATTGGCGGCCAGGTCGATCTCGACCTACTCCCAGCTGAGGAAAGATTTATTAGCCAATTTTCTTCTCGGCACTACGATAGGAAGACAGCAACTCACCTCGCCACCATTAGGCAGAAAGAAGGTGAGACGCTGAGAGAGTATGTCACAAGGTTCCAGGAGGAATAGTTGAAGGTCGCGCACTGCTCCGATGACTCGGCCATGTGCTACTTCCTCACTGGCCTGGCCGATGAGATCCTCACCGTGAAGCTTGGAGAGGAGGCTCCAGCAACCTTCGCCGAAGTTTTGCAAAAGGCGAAGAAAGTCATTGATGGACAAGAGCTCTCCGAACCAAGACTGGCCGACTTGAGAAGCAGATCGACCAGAAGAAGCCAAACCAAGAGAAGAAGAAGGTTGATTCCAAATCTAAGGACAAGGGATTGTCCGCTTCCGGCAATCGAACTGAGTATCGTAGGTCAAAAATCGGCCCCAATCGAAGCCGACCTTACGAACGTTATACTTCAACCACCATCCTCATCTCTGAGATACTTACAAACATCGAGGAAAGTGGGATGGAAAAGCTCCTCAAGCGACCTGAGAAACTCCGAGGAGAGCCAGAAAAGCGTAATAAAGATAAATATTGTCGTTTTCATCGCGATCACGGCCATAATACATCAAATTGCTGGGAATTGAAGTGCCAGTTTGAAGACCTTATTCAAGATGGCTACTTCAAAAAATTTGTTGGAAAACCGAGGTCCAACTCAGTGGAGAAGAAAGAAGAGAGGAAGCGTTCAAGGACGCCGCCTCGTCGAGATGACCGACCTGCGGTCATCAACACTATTTTTGGGGGCCCTAGTGGGGGCCAGTCCGGAAATAAAAGAAAAGAGCTAGCTCGCGAAGCCAGACGCGAGGTATGCATCATCAGGGAGCAGAAACCGACTTGCTCTATTACCTTCGGCGACGCCGATCTGGAGGGGGTCCACTTGCCCCATAATGATGCATTTGTGATTGCCCCTCTTATCGATCATGTCCTGGTCAGAAGAGTATTGGTAGATGGAGGCGCGTCTGCTAACATCTTGTCCCTTCCGACATATCTGGCCTTGGGATGGACCAGGTGATTACGCTTGTTTACATGCATAAAAAGAAGGTTTTAGATGCTGTTTTTACTATGTTTCGGCTTTGTTTCGGATTTTTCTCGATCATTTGAGTTCCAATTCATGCAAAATTCATATACTATGGTTTGTGGATGGCTTATGTTGTATTTATGACATTTTAGGACCATTTGGGAGTGCAAATTAATCAAAAGAAGCRAAAAGACGAAAAARYWMCWYRGGAGGCGCCAGGYGCCTGGGATGCCTGCAGAAAAACAGGTTTTCTTCCAACTTTGCCCTTAATGAAACGCGTCTTCCAATGCGTTTTGGTGGTTCCAACCGATGCATACGTGTAGAA